TACTATAATGGTCGATACCTGTCTTTATACATTTGTCAAAACCCATAGAATATACAACACCGAGAGTGAACCCTAATGTAAACTATGCATTTGATTGATAATGATGTGTCAGTGTTAGTTCATCAGTTCGAACAAATGTAGCACACAGACGGATGATACCGAGGTGGAGAAGGCTGTGCCTGTATGGGGAAGGGGTTTTGTGAAAACTCTCTGTACTTTCCACTCAATTTTGCTGTGAACCAAGAACTTCTCTAAATAGAAAGGCGTTAAAATGGTATTAGGGGCCACTGCATGGGGAATTTTCAGGTGTTGGGAGTGTTAGTGTACCCCAGAAGCCCAGCAGAGGATCATTGTGCTGTCAGGACCTATTGTGATCAGATAGCACCAGAGCCAAAAAAGTATGGTAGGTTTCGAGCACAGCCGCCCCCAGCACAATCTCCACTTTCCACATGGAACTGGCTGGCCCCCATCGGCGGGCACTCAGTCAGCGCATGTTAAATGCACAGGTACTTTTGAACCCTGCTTGCACTCACTATAGCAACAGGTCAGCAAGCCACTTTGCCTTCCGCGGAGCCCACCAACTAATGGTGCCCTTTGGATCTCTTTCCCACTACAGGGCATCCAGATGGTGTGTGAGACGTTGACTGAGTGCTGGGACCACGACCCAGAGGCCCGCCTCACAGCCCAGTGTGTGGCAGAACGCTTCAGTGAGCTGGAGCACCTGGACAGGCTCTCGGGGAGGAGCTGCTCCGAGGAGAAGATTCCTGAAGACGGCTCCCTAAACACTACCAAATAGCTCTTCTGGGGCAGGCTGGGCCATGTCCAAAGAGGCTGCCCCTCTCACCAAAGAACAGAGGCAGCAGGAAGCTGCCGCTGAACTGATGCTTCCTGGAAAACCAAGGGGGTCACTCCCCTCCCTGTAAGCTGTGGGGATAAGCAGAAACAACAGCAGCAGGGAGTAGGTGACATCGAGCATTCTATGCCTTTGACATTGTCATAGGATAAGCTGTGTTAGCACTTCCTCAGGAAATGAGATTAATTTTTACAATAGCCAATAACATTTGCACTTTATTAATGCCTGTATATAAATATGAATAGCTATGTTATATATATATATATATATCTATATATGTCTATATCTCTCTCTATATAGCCATACCTTGAAAAGAGACAAGGAAAAAGATCAAGTATTCCCAGGAAATTGGTTTTATTGGAGAGCTCCAGAACCAAGTAGAGAAGGAAGGGACCCATGACAGCATTAGCATTTGACAATCACACATGCAGTGGTTCTCCGACTGTGTAACAGGGAACTTTGCATGAGGCAAGAGGCTGCACGTCTCACAGCCAGCTATGACCACATTGCAGTTGCTTTTGCAAAATAATCATTCCCTGCCTAGCAGTTCTCTTCTGGCCATGGAACTAAGTACAGTGGCACTGTTTGGGAACCAGTGTTCCCGGGGTTCCTGTGTGCCCTTGTTTCTCCTGGACTTTTCATTTAAGCTGCAAGCAGCACATCTGCGGGGGCTAGTTTAGAAATTTCCCTCAACCTAGTTTAGAAACTCTACCCTGTCTTTACTACCTTGAATGTTTTGAGCCCCACTTTTTACCCTCATGAGTTGCACAAAAATCAGAACAGATTTCCCCATCCGTGCGATTGCCCCGCCATCTACTAATGAAAAGTTGTTCTTTTTTTTTTCATCTTCCCCCTGCACTTACGTTACTATTATCTGCTCCCAGCCTTCATCCTTTTCTAAAAAGGAGCAGATCCCCACTCTACGCTTTATCATGTTTACTTTTTCATTACACTTGACTTGGTTCTCTAGTTTTCTATACAAACACCAATGGGTTCCATCTTTCTGGGCTCCTGATTGCTCAAGCACAGTTTGGCCTAATGAAGGGGATTTCAACTACACAATCCTATCATTGTCAGGACTATGACCTTGGGCACTCTAAACATATGTTTTGTTTGGTCAGCACAGCGTTTCAAAAAGTGAAGCCACTTTATAAATACATGGAGATTTTGCAGGAAAATCTGGATCCCCAGGTAAGGAGAGCAGATGGCTTTCAGTGATCTCCAGTCCATGTTCACAAAATGTGAAGGTGTGGAGATATTTAAAAGCTGCCTCACTTCTCACTGTAAACATTAGCTCTTTCCACTGCCTACCTGGACCCCAGTCTAGGAATTAAATCTCCACCTAACCAAGGTCCCTTGTAAGAAATGTCCATGCAAGCAGTCATTCTCTGGGTATATAGTATGATTTTGACTACCTTATCTGGTGTTAAGATTTGAAGTTGGCCTTTTATTGGACTAAAGGGGAACTCCTGTAAGGGTCTGTTAGCCCAAGTTTCTTTTGCTTATATGTTAATAGTTTTACCCTCTGCATTGGAGAGAAGAGCGCTTTACTCCCAGAAGCTTTCCTCATGGTTCCTGTTGTCTCCATCATGCCAGCCTTCCCAACCTTTGCAGAAATTACTAGAGAGGACTTAAATGTGGGACACAGAAATCCCATTTGCAGTTAGGAAATTTGTGTCCACAAGGACAAGAACAAAGTATGAGCTTTGAAACTCCATAGGAAACATGTTAATCAGCAAAGAAGTGTTAATGCTGCAAGTAATCTCTTTTTTTAAAACTGTTTTTGAAGCTACTTATTTTCAGCCAAATAGGAATATTAGAGAGGGACTGGCAGTGAGAATATCAGCTCTGTTTGGATGTTGGAAAGTCTCATTTTATTGAGATTTTTAGGATACATGCAGAAGTTTGGAATTAGGCAGAACCTCTGGGCACCTTACTCAGTGTGGGTGGGCTGAGAGTTAGACAGTGTGGCTGCAGGAGCATAGAGGCGCCTAGAAATTCCACTCGCACCGTAGGGCATGCCGATACCATCCCAATCGCTGTTGCTCATTGACCTCTACTGGTGAGTTTCTAGAATACTGGTCCATTCATGAGATATTCAAGATTCAAGAGTATTCTCACTTCTGGGTTATCAGCATAAACTGGAATGTAGTGTCAGACGATACTGTGGCTTGTTTTGTTTATGTTTTTTTTTTTCTTATTCAAGAAAAAAGACCAAGGAATAACATTCTGTAGTTCCTAAAAATACTGACTTTTTTCACTACTATACATAAAGGGAAAGTTTTATTCTTTTATGGAACACTTCAGCTGTACTCATTTATTAAAATAGGAATGTGAATGCTATATACTCTTTTTATATCAAAAGTCTCAAGCACTTATTTTCATTCTATGCATTGTTTGTCTTTTATATAAATAAAATGTTTATTAGATTGAATAAAGCAAAATACTCAGGTGAGCATCCTGCTTCCTGTTCCCATTTCTAGTAACTAAATCCATTTGCCTCATTTGGTTATTTTGCAATTTATGCAGAAAACGTCACCAGATAAATCATCTCCAACTTTTTCATACTGTCTTCCTCAACTGACAGTCTCACACCCCTTAAAAAAAAAAAAAAAAAAAAAAAAAAAAAGTCACAGAAGCTCAGTAATATGAGATGAAGCCCATGCTGCTCATGGCCTGCCCGCCATGCTGGCGTCCTGGCATGATGTCCCTCTGAATGCCCAGAAGACCTCTTCCCACGGTCTCAGGAGCCGCCTCTATCCACATGGCTGTTTCTTACAGGGATTGTCACAGCCAGTGTTTCTACCGCTGCTTCTATTTTCTCCATTCCTCAGACTAGCAAGCTGTTGGCTGTCTTCTTGGCTCTTGGCATATTCCATGCTTCCCTTTTCTACCCAGATACCACATCCATTTGGTGCTTTTAATCGACTTAATGAATGGTGGGATGAATATGCCTTAGGAAATTGGCTCCTGGTCATTTCTTGTGACAAAGTGCACAAAATTTTCTGCCTGAACTTCGTGCTACCTGTTTTGGAATCTGAGAGATTCTGTAGCTTCTTCTTAGTTATCAACTGGGTTCTAAATAGTTAATGTCATAGTGCCTGCACAGGGTGTTTCAGCCTTAGCACTGCTGACTTATTTTTGCCTCGGATAATTGGGAGGGAGGAAAGCCGTCCTGTGCACTGTGGGATGTTTAGCAGCATCCCTGACCTCCACCCACTAGATACCAGTAGCACACACCCCACAGCTGTGACAACCACAACTTTCTCCAGACATTGCCAAATGTCCCCTGAAAGACAAAGTCCCTCTCAGTGGAGAATCACTGAGCTAGATGATGTGGTCCTACTGGGGGCCTTAGTTATAGTCTTGTCTTTAGTAGTAGCAATTTTAGTGGTTACTAATTGTAGAGGTTACCTGCTCCTCCATTTGCCAGCTTTGTGATCTGGGCAAATTACTTAACCTCTCCATGCCTCAGTTTCATCATGTGTAAAATGAGATTTTACAAGCCTCATCCTATACAAGATAAAATTGTGGTAAGAAGACACATTAGGCCTTTGAAGATGGGTCTTGAATTTTTTGGAAAGCCTTCACTACATGCTGGCCAATGTTAAATTGGTTTAGTACGCTAAGGGCTGCTTAGGCAAAGAAGCAGATTTTTAGGGAAAAACCTAGAGAGCCTTTACAACAGAGGAGAATGGGCATATTCCCCAGGTCTGCAGGACAGGAAATGTGAGTCCTGTGTGAGCACTAATCATTTGAAGAGAACGCTCATTCACTGAATACTCACTATGTCGTCGGATTGAATCCTCCACTAGCTCGGTGAGGTACATACTATGCCCATTTAGCAGATGAGGAAACAGATGGTCAGAGAGCTCAGATAAGAAGCCCAGGGTCTCACCATGTAGAATCTGGATGCAAGGCCAACTTGTCTTGGAACTGGAATTTGGAACACCTGACATGCTTGGTTCTTCCTGCTGTTTCCTGAGGGAACTGACCTGCCCAAGCAGGACCAAAAGGCTACCTCATGAAGAAAAGCCCTGCTACTGGGTCATTGTTCTCATCTCTCTCTGGGTCTCTGCTCAGTGGAGGCAGAAAAGATGCTTTTCCACTTCTATTGTCTGACTTCCTCTCCAGTCACATGGTAAGTTTTGTCTAGATGCTTGCTGAGAGAACAACTGGAAGACGAGTGAATGTGTATAGACTGTGTTTCCTCATGTGTAAAATGTGTACTGATAGATGATTTAAGATTGTGCCACGTTTATAAAAATAGATCCACCTTTATTTTAGTGGATCATTAACATGTATTAGAAAAAAATCATTAACGCAGCCTGGACTTTCACAAATAATATTGCTTGAAATATGGCTGAGTTTAAAAACTTGAATGGATTTTTAAAGTACATTAAGTAGATGATACTTATTCATGACAACTATAGGAGATGTGAATACGAATAATTGAAGTTAGGGAGCTCTACCCAAGGAGGCAAATTCATATTAATTCCTAACATTTATTGAGTACTTGGTAAGCGTCAAGCACTATTCTCTGTTTTACCTTCTTTATCTGCTTGAATTCTCTCAACAACCCTGTGAAGTATCTTTCCTCCATTTTATAGAGGAGGAAACTGAGGCAGAGAGCAAGGTCTAGCTAAGGGTCGCAATCATTAGCATGAGAATTTGAACTGAAGCAGTTGGACTCCAGAGCTCAAACCCCCACCTTGAACACAAGATAAAGCTGGAGTTGGGGGATAACAACGTGGAGCCTCTGGAGAGCCCAAGGGTTTGATTCAACAGTCCAAAATAAGGAGGACGCAGATGCAGTTAGCACTGGAGAAGAGGGAGTTACCCATGAGGGAACCCAGGGAGAAAAAGTTATTCCTCAAATGCACATGGGCTCTGGGCTCCGGCCCAAGAGCTTCAGCCAAAACAGGAGCCAAGGTCTTCTAACCCCTCTCCCTTCTTCCACGCTCTGTTTTGCTGGGGTTATTTTAGTTCTTGCTACTGCAAGGTCAGGAACATTCCCAACTGGCAATTAGTCTGCAAGTGCCCTCAGCACGGACTCAGTCCTTTGCACCAATCAGCATCCTTTGAATTCAGTCTATATTTGTGCCCAGGAGTTTCTATTTGTGGTGGCTGTTTTTGTTTTAAGCTCTCTATGCAAATGACACGCTAATGGTCTGGTCCTTAGGGAAATTCTGTCTTCAGGTGACAGAGAACTTTTCATTTAAATAAGTGTATCTATCCTTTTTCACTAAAGCCACTACAGTTGGCGTCTGCTCATTTTGTTCATTTTCCTCCTGAAATAGACTAGCTAATCATTGCTTATCACATTTCCAATTAGTTTCTTTTTTTTTTACTTGAATAATTATAGCTCCACACTCTATGGGTTTGGGGCCATGCCCTTCAGGCCTACTTTGCAAACTGTGCTGATAAACACAAGATGGTGAACTTGCCCACATTACACGGGCTGCCAATCAGCCTCACACGGTGTAATTTAATTCTAATATACCTCCTGATCTTTGGTGCATTTAAAAATAACTTGTTAATAGTCTTCCTATTCTAATTAAGCTAAAATTGCATGCACTGTGAAATGTTTGCTCTCTTGCTCTCTCGTGCTCTCTCTCTCTCTACACGCGTGCGCGCACACACACACAATTGATCCTTAAAAATCATTTCTGTAAACAGCCTGTGTGGCACAGTGCTTCTGAAATTCTCCTCAAAGTCTTCCCCTGACCTATGCCCACAATGATAGACAATAGAATAAAATAACTGCAGCCCTGCTACCCTAGGTCCATTAAAATATTCATAATAAATTATCTAAACTTTCCTAACAAAGTGGTTAAAATTGGAACCTCTAGAGCCAAATCTCCTTAGTTCAAATCCTAGCTCTGCCACTAACTGTAACTTTGCGTAAGTCTTTTAACTGTTTTTATTTCTTGGTTTCTTAATGTGTAGAATGAGGATAATGATAAGCTCTACTTTGGAAAGTTGTAAGAGTTAAATGAAATGGTGGTTTTTTTAAATGGTTAGAACAGAGACCGATGCACGTTAAGTATTCGTTATTATGATTAAGTTTTGCGTGCTTTAAAATGAAGCTGTGTTATTGCAGTATTTTAAAGATGTTTTGTTCCCAAAATCTTTGGGTACAATTGACTCTTAAGGAATATGAGTCATGTTTAAACTGTAATTGTGAGCAGACCACCCTTTTTCCTCGAGAGGCTTTCTCAACCAGGTGAATGGCATGGCTGTGGTGGGAAACACGGGGCCCTGTGAGACAGGAAATCTAGGGCGTTGTGTAGCTCCATTACCATCCTCTTCTTTTATGGATTCAGTGTCTTGTTCTTTTGTTCCATGTGAGAATCATCCCTATCCTGCCTACATTAGAAAGCTGGAGAAATATGAAGTAAGTGAAAACATGTGGAAAATGTACTAAAATATTAATGCAAGGATGCAAGGTATAAGCTTTGCTGGAACATTAGCTCCTCATTTTTTAGTAACATTACAGGCATTTGAAAATATGTACTTTATGTGGGACCTATGTTTTACATATATGCTAATCATCCTAGAAACCCTACAAGGTAGGTGTTACTTTTTTCCATTTTACCATTAAGGAAATTATCCAGGTTTATACAACCGGAACCCAGGTCTCTGTCGGTACAAAACTGTCTACTCTTCCAAACTGTTTTATCTATCCAAATTTATTTCCTCCATTAAACATTAGTTGAACACAACGTGGTGTATCACCCAAGGTCAGCTGGCACCTTGAAAACTATGTGTTACTCAGCCTCTTAGCACCTAGCAAAGAGTGGAGCATATAACAGTCTTTCAACTAAGTTTTGTTGAAGAAAGAAATGAAGGCTCTTGGTCTTTAGAAATTCATAAATCAGCTGAAGAGACAGATATACTAACCAATAGCATATGATCAGCATGTTCTAATTGGTAATGTCTCTGGAATAAGACAGCCGGCCGCAAAAAAATGTCTGACTTTTGCAGAGAAACTCCTAGTATGAGTTTGACTGCTGTCCCACATCTACCTATGTGGCCATAGTGCTGTAGCCACTGTTGTTACCCTAAGAGGACAGCCTTATTCCTCCAGGTCTCTTACAACTCTCTTTTAAGGAACTTGTATTCGATCCCTAGAGCTGCTGTAACATATTGCCCCAATCTTGGTGACTTAAACCAACAGACATTTATTATCTCATAGTTCTGGGGGCTAGAAGCCTGAAATCAATGTGTCTGCAGGCTTCACTGTCTCTGAATTTTTTTATGAGAACATTTTTCATTTGATTTAGGGCCTACCTGGGTAATCCAGGATGATATCATCTTAAGATTCCTAACTTAATGAGACCTGTAAAATCCATCTTTCCAAATAGGTCACATTAACAGCTTCTGAAGACTAAGGCATGGACAGATCTCATTGGAAGCCATCATTCAACCAACTGCAAAGCTTTAGCCAATTCCCAGCTATGAATTCTTCCAAGATGAAAGGATACCAAGCTCAAGACCCTCCCTTGTTCATTTGAAGCCTTCCCAAAGATGACTGACAACTTCACAGATTTCATTTGGTTTCATTTCCTATCTTAATGAAAAAAATGATAATGTTTATACTGTATGATAATGAAAACATCATGTAAAGATTACTCTTTATCTAAATGTTAGCACATATTTTTGAACATCTATCATTTTTCCAGCAGTTATGATTTTTTCTTCCCAAGAATATGGGAATGAGGTGAAACTGACAACTTTTCCCCCACACATTGTATCCTCTTTTAATGCCACCCTGTGTTTAACAGCACCTGACAGAATGTAGGAGCAATCCATGGTGCTCAAAGAATGTTATGGAATTTAACAACAAGTATATATATTTGTTTTGATCCAGTGTCTCATCTGACTACCTTGGGCTACAGGAATACCCTAGGTGAGAAGGGAAAGTTGGGTTCTAGCCCAACTCCTGTTACTAAATCTCTGAGCTCCATGACCCTTGGATATTCTAGTTGTTATTACTACAAAACTTAGTGGCTTAAAGCCATCTTTTCATTTTGCTCAGATTTTGTGGGTCAGAAATCTGGGAAAGGATTAGGCTGGATAGTTTTCACTTGGAGTTTCTTCTACCATTGCAGTCATATGTCAACTGGGACTGAAATCATCTGATAGCTTAGCTAGGCTAGATACCCAAGATGCCTCACTCTGGTGGTTAGTGCTGGTAGTTAACTGGGAGATCATTTGGGGCTGTCATCTGGAACACCTGCACATGGCTTTTTCAAGTGGCAGTGTTAAGACAATAGTTCTAATATGACATCTGGCTTCCTCTAGGGTGAGTGTAGAACCTGTGGAAACTACATGGATATTTATGACATAGCCTTGGACATCATATAAGATCACTTCTCCCATACTCGATTGAAACAAGCAGTTGCGAGTCACCCAAATTCAAAGCAATGGGACATAGCTCCCCACCTCTCAATGGGAGACGTGACCAAGAATTTGGGAGCAATATTTTAAAACCACCACAGGTACTTTATACTACATGAGTCTAGCTTTTCTCTATAAAATGGGACTACATTGTCTCTAAGACTCCTCTAGGGCTTAAAGTCTATGGAGCACTTTCCTTTAATAATCTTAATTTATAGATACTTACATTAGTATTTGTATGCCAATTCTTTTCTATCATAAAATAACCATAGTACATAGAATTTTTAAAAATAGAAAAAAAGGCTCAGTTTCAATGCCTAAATCTTTATATATTTACATATTTAGAGTTATTTTCTGTGTTTTTGTTTGTTTGTGGTGCCTTGTGTATCTCTCTGTGTGTGTGAGTGTGGTGAACCTAACAGTACATCATTTTAGCATCTTTTCTCAGAATTAAGCCAGAAAGACATTCTGAAAGGTTGTTTGTTTTGTTTTGTTTTGTTTTGTTTTTGAGATGGAGTCTCGCTCTGTCACCCAGGCTGGAGTGCAGGGAGGCAATCTTGGCTCACTGCAAGCTCCGCTTCCCAGGTTCACACCATTCTCCTGCCTCAGCCTCCAGAGTAGCTGGGACTACAGGCGCCCGCCACCACACCCAGCTAATTTTTTTTTTTTTTTTTTTTTTTTTTTTTTGTATTTTTGGTAGAGATGGTGTCTCACCGAGTTAGCCAGGATGGTCTCCATCTCCTGACCTTATGATCTGCCCGCCTGGGCCTCCCAAAGTGCTAGAAATACAGGCATGACCCACCGTGCCCAGCCTGAAAGTTGGTTTTTAAAGACCATCAGTTGCCATTACAACTAAACATACTATGCAACAGTAACATTTAATATCCCAATTAAATTGTAGTGGTCGTTGACCTCAGATTACAAACTCAGGTGGGCCAGAAATGTCTTATTTTACAATAAATTTGTTTTAATTTTGATTCTGAACTCCTGTCCTGCTGAGCTGGTGGGAAATATAGCCCTTCATTTTTGAGACAACCTTCCCCACTAACTCCTGAGGTTATATCATTCATCCAGGTCTCACACATTTGGAACAATGGGGAGGGGGCTGAAGGGTTGTTCTCAACTATCCATGAAACTGAATTCGCCCTAAAATGCCCATTATCCTTGTTTGCTGGACTTGTTCAAGTCTGTCTCTCCTATGGCTCCCTGCCTTGCAGGGAGTTTGTTATTATTCTCCAGGAAACAGAGTATCTCAGGTCTAGACTTGCTTTCCGGTGCACCATAAGCAATTTCCTTATATCCTCCATGTCCTCAGAGTCCTGCCTTGGAACAGTAGGCAGGTGCCCTCTGCTCCAGAGATTACCACGACTCTTTCTCCCTCAGGTCCTACAGATTCCATATCCTCTTCCTTTTGCCTTACCCAGGCTCTACTCCTGCTCCTTTCTCAATAGTTTTTGATAGCCTATCAAAATCATTAGCAACCAAACAACTGCTTCACTTCATCCTGAAACTTTCCCTGGAGAAGGAAATATTTGCGTTCCATCTTTCTACTGCTTCAGAGAAAAGAAGAACCAAATGACTATTTTTCCACAATAAGAGTGAATGTTCACATCCTACTACAAAAGAATACATCAGGCTAATTTATATGCATTACATATTCTCCAGTATATAAAGGGAATCACACTTCCATCAGAGAGTTTTTTGAGTCTGTGTTCAACTGCTTCTTAAATCTCCTGGGTCTAATGGGAGAACAGCCTCTTTCATGGCTGATGACACTGAAGAAATGCCAAAGAAAAAGCAAAATGGCAGACTTAGTGTTTATTGTTGGGATGAGATACTACAGGTTCATAATCCCTATGTGCTGTTTCACATTCAAAAGCTCAGAAAAATTGAAATAACTTCTCGCTCATTTGGCTTCTAAACCTGACCTGAACTAATGTGAGGGTACTTTTAAGTCTTTATCACACTAAGGGTTGATATTTTTATATTATATACCAGAAATATTAGTATGATTGATTATGGGAGTGTTACCTACTTTCTGCTGCAGGGTATCACAGGTTGGGGCTCAGAAAATGATACCCTGAAATATGCTGCTTTGAACTTCCAACTGAGAGGACCTGAGAAGCAGCAAATGCTGAGTTCCTTATTTGACTAAGATAATTTCCTTCAGAAGGCATTCAATTGTATTGCCCCACCCTACCTTCACCCCTAGAATTTCATCAAACAGAGGAGATCAACTCATAGGAAAGAAGATTGGAGCTGACTCTATCTTGGAGCGCATACAAACTTTTTCCCAAGCTATTGTCTGTTCTTCAGGCCCATTCACCTCCCCCAAAAAATCATGTATTCTTCCTCAAAAATTGTCTATTATCTTCCTCTTCCCTTTCCCCCATGAAAAAGTGTTGAGGCTTATTCTGAGCCAATATGAGTGACCATGGCCTGAGAACCATCTCAAGAGCTCCTTCAAAAGTGTGACTGAGCTTGTTAGGTTGCAATTTGGTTTTATACATTCAGGGAGACAGGAATTGTAGGTAAAATCATAAATCTATATATAGAACGTATACATTGGTTCAGTCTAAAGTGGTGGGATATCTTGAAGGCAGGGTTGAGGGGATGCTTACAGATCATAGGTAAATTCAAAGATTTTCTGATTCACAGTTGGTTGAAAGTATTAAGTTTTGTCTAAAGACTTGAAGTCAGTAGAAAAAAATGCTTGAGTAAGGATAAGGGGGGTTGTGAGGGCCAAATTTTTGGTACGTAGATGAAGCTTCATAGATAGCAGTCTTCAGAGAGAATAGAAGGTAAATGTCTCTTTTCAGACTTTAAAGGTATCAGACTCTCAGTTAATCTCTCCTAGATCCAAGAAAAGCCTAGAAAGAGAAGGCCTGACTCCATTAATGGAGATTCTCTACAGATGCAAATTTTCCCCACAAAAGATGGCTTTGTGGGGCCATTTCAAAATATGTTAAAGAAATATAATTTAAAGTAAAATCTGTTTATTTCCTTCAGGGTCTGCTGTCATGTGCCATGACATGCTATACCAGTCAGGTTGGAATCTGGTGTATTATTGCCATAGTCTGTTTACTCAGTCTTATGATGTCTATTTTAATGTTAATGCTGGTCAGTTGTGCCTAAACCACAAAGGGTGGAAGTATGATGAGGAATATCAGACCTCCATTCCCATCATAGCTGGGAATTCAGTTTTCCAGGTTTCTCTAGGTCCTCCCTGAACTAGAGAGGGTCTGATTAAAGCTGCATTTGCAAAGAATGTGACAGTGAGATAAATCTAGCATGGCTGATTCCAACTTGCTTCTAGTCTCACATGCTGGCTGTTTTTACCCATTCTTGGGTATAGGCCAAGCTAACCGTGAAAGGGGACTGAATTCTGCTAAGATCTACTTTCTATAGTCCATTACTGCTCAGGAGTCACATGGCTGGAGGTCACAAGATTTGTGACTTATTGCTGCTTTACATAGCATCACTATTGTAGAAGATTGGCCTTTTGAGATGTTTTTTAGACTTTTGCATTCTGGCAACCACTGACCCCACCCAGACTCAGGACTCAACTGGTCCTGTGGCCCTGTACCCAGAGTGCCCGTCCAGCACACAAGGACTATTTTCCATGCCCCCATGATTGTATCCCCAGCTAATCAGCAGTACCCATTCATTAGTCCCCTGCCCACCAAACTATCTTTGAAAAACTCTAACCTCTGAGCCTTTAGGCAGGCTGATATGAGTGGCAACCGCAGTTTTCCTGTGTGGTCTGCCTCGTGTTAATTAAGCTATTTCTTTACTGCAGTCCCACAATCTCGGTGAATTAATTTTGTCCATGTAACGGGCAGGAAGAACCCACCAGGTGATTACACGTTTATTTAGCTGAGGGGCTTAGGATTTTATTTTTGGTTTATATGAGCAGATTTAAGCTTCAACCATCTGAACTGTCTTTGAGTTTTCACTTTTTGTGACTCCTGTGCACTTGCATGTTAATACATTTGTATGCCTTTTCTCCTGTTAATCTGTCTATTATCAGTTTATTTCAGCAGACTCAATTATCAAACCTTCAGAGGAGAAGTTTAAGCTTCCCTGCATACATAATATGTACCATATTATCTTTTATGTATATATTTCATATATATGTGTGTGTGTATATACATATGAATTAGTAAGTTTCTTTTTCATGGTATTTCTTCATGTGTCATTACAGGGACAGAAAAAATAATTTTTCCTCTACCCTTGTAAATTCTCAGCTGGGGCCCCAATATAAAAAGACAGATTAATGAAAGAAAAACAAACAGAAGTTTATTAACATGTATACAATGACTTTTTCTGTAACCTCTGCCTCCCCACCTCGTCTTTATAAACCTCGACATTTAAACCATCTGGGACTTCAGGTTTTAAACACGAGCTGCCTGAATCTTCTTGCTTGGTACCCTGCAGTAAATGTATGCATGAGAGACACCCAGGG